GACAAAGGAAAAAAAATACAAAGAACTGATGAATCCAAAATCTGTTTCTTTGAAAGCCTAAATAAAATTGATAAACTCCTAGCCAGCCTTCTCAAAAAGAGGAAAGAAAAAACTCAAATTCAAGCAATAAGGAATGAAAAGGGAGAAATTAGTACAGATCCTGCGGAACTTTAGATCATCGATAGCTATTCTGAAAATTTTTATTCTCACAGGAGCAAAGATACAGAAGAAATGGATAGAATCCTAATCAAAGACCAGTGCAAATTGCCAAAACTGAATCAAGAAGATATAAAAACTCTGAATAACCCAGTATCAGCCAACAAAATTGAAAATGTAATAAAAAAAAAAACCCAAAACTTACCAACAAAGAAGATTTAATCCCAATACTCCTCTAACTCTTCAATGAAATTGAAAAGGAAGCAATACTCTCAAAATCATTCCGGGAGGCAAGTATACTGATACTGAAACCGGAGAAAGATCCAACCAAAAAAGAGAATTACAGACCAATCTCCCTCATGAACATAGATGCAAAAATCCTCACTAAAATACTAGCAAATAGAATATAGCAAATCATCAAGAAGATTATGCACTATGACCAGGTAGGGTTCATCCCAGGGATGCAAGGATGGTTCAACATACGCTAATCTATAAATGTAATACACCACATCAAGAGAGCCAAAACAAAAAACATGATCATCTCAACAGATGCAGAAAAGGCTTTTGACAAAGTTCAACTCTCATTCATGATCAAAGCCTTATAGAAAATTGGAACAGATGGCCTATACCTCAACCTGATAAAAACCATCTATGATAAATCAACAGCCAACATAATTCTAAATGGAGAAAAACTGAAAGCTTTTACTCTCAAATCAAGTACAAAACAAGGACGTCCTCCATCACCAGTCCTATTCAATATAGTTCTGGACCTTTAGTTAAGAGCCATTAGACAAAAGGCAGAAATAAAAGGAGTAAGACTGCACACGGTGGTGCGCACCTGTAATCCTAGCACTTGCGAGGCTGTAAACAGGAGGATCACTATGAGTCCGGATCTATGCAGTGAGACCCTGTAGACACTATTCTAAATACAAAAGAAAAACAAAGAAACAAAAAACCAAAACCACTCACCAAGAAATAAAAGGAATAAGAATAGGTAAAGAAGAAGTTAAACTATCATTATTTGCAGATGACATGATACTCTATTTGGAAGCCCCAAATACTTCACCAAGAAGTTTCTAGAATTAATAAATTCAGTAGCATAGCAGGATACAAAGTTAACACCCAAAAATCAATAGCATTGCTCTACACAGATAACAAACT